ATTCCCAAAGGCCATAGAAATCACGAAGCCTCCGGGATCCTTCTCTTTTTTCGGCAAGTTCTGTTGGAAGACACTTGCAGCTTCACACACGAGCACTTCTTCACCGTTTTCGAGTTTCTGCTTATTTGCTGCCACTTTCTTGAAAAATCTCGCGTAAGCCGGTATCTTCTTCATCACGTCGGGAGGAGATAAGTCTACATTGGCCTTAGTCAACATCGCATGAAGGTCCCGAATCATGGTGCGGTCCTTCTCCTCTAACAGTCGGCTCGGGAAGGGGATTTTCGGTATGTAGGGGTTCGGAGATCTATGCAAAGTCGGCTCAGTAGGCGATATCTTCGGAGCCTTATCTTTCTCATATTGCTTCCTCGGGCCCTTATTATCGGCCATGATCACCGTCACGGATTTTGCGTGTTCCGGTTGGCTCGGTAGCTTCCCTTTATCCAGTTCAGACTCGATGCTCCCTACCCGTGTGGCTAGCTGGCCCACTTGTGTCTCAAGACACTTAATGGAGGCGTCATGATTTGTGACAAAATTGAGGATTTTGTCCAGTTTGTCGTCTGTGCTCGACTGGGTTGGTCCGGTTTCTGGTGCTGGCAGCCTTAACATCCCCCTAGGTTGCTGCTGCTGAGGGACAAACTTGGTTTGAGGTGGTTGCTGATAGTGATTGTTGGACCATGAAAAATTAGGGTGGTTTCGCCACCCAGGGTTGTATGTGTTCGAGTAGGGGTCATTTCTGGGATGGTTTTGGTACCCCTGCATTGCATTCACCTCGGTAGTTTGGCCTCCATAGCCTGGCTCGACAGCTGACGGGCACACCTCAGAGCTGTGCCCCTGTACTCCACATGCTCCACAAGCACTCACGGCCATAGCCTGTATTGGCGAGGAACTTCGAGCATTTAGTAGCCGCATCTGCTCCGTGAGCTCGGCTAACTGCTGGGCCATAGCATACCGCTTCCCTCTTATACTCTTCTGAGACGAGTTGACACTCATCGTCTCAAAGATCTCATACATCTCTTCGGCCGTCTTCGCACCGATGTCTCCCCCCGCAGCGTTGTCAACCATATATTGCAAATTCTGGTTGAGGGAGTCGTAGAAGTAGTTCATCAGTAGTCCCGATGAAAGATTGTGGTGGGGACACTGCCGCTGGAGATCCTTGAATCGCTCCCAGGCCTCATGAAGAGGCTCACTCGGTAGTTGGGCAAACGAGACGATCTGTGACCTGAGCTTCTGAGTCTTTTGATGGGAGTAGTACCTCCCAATGAACTTCGTGTAAACCTTGGTCCAGGTAGTCAGGGATGCCGGTTCAAGTGTCATGAACCAGGCCTTGGCCCGGTCTTTCAATGTCTCGGGGAAGCACCTCATCTTCAACTGATCCTTATTCAGCCCATTCAGAGGGAAGGTGTTGAGGACATTGTAAAATTCCCGGATGAAGTTAAGCGGGTCTTCACTCGGGAGCCCATGGAACGCCGGCAGCTGGTTGTAATGAATCATTTTTAGCTCATAATTCCGTGCAGGATCTGGCAAACGGATACACGAAGTGACTGGCCCGATAACCGGTTGAGCTAAGGTTCGGAGGGTGTTACGAGGCGGTTGTTGTTGTTGTTCATCCATGACGACGTTACTGGCTTCTGACGATTTCGGGGAGTGCTCGTCTCTTTCTTTAGATTCGAGAGTAATCTCTTCCAGCAGCTCCCTCAGGCTTTCGTTGACTGATTTGTTGGTCGGAGATGGCAATTTGCGTCCACTCCTGGTACGCATACACTAAGACCAACGAGGGTTACGAGCACCAATGATAAAAACACAATAAGAACACAATAAAACAAGAACTAACACCTAACAAATAAAAAGAAATCAAGAGGAACACAGAAACAAGAAAAATCACAAGAAATAAGAGAAACACTAAAAACAAGATGAATAGGCGCACAAAATAAGTCCTAAACCTTCCCCGACAACGGCGCCAATTTGTTGTAAATATTTTTCCGGAGTAGAATCAAGAAATTCGAACACCGGGTTGTGTCTCACGAGGAAGGTCAGCCGGAATATTATGCACGTTTATTCAAGCTCACAAAAGAAAATGAAATTCCTAAACATTCTAAATCAAAGATTGGTTTGATTATTAACTACGAAAAAGATTTCAAATACGGTAAATAGAAATAGCAAGCAACGACGAAGAACAAGTAGGATTTAAGGAGCTAAGGAGTCGGGGATATCCGTTTTGGTTCGAAAATGTAATTGTCAAACAAGAGATTGTTCGGTTAAGTGATTTGATTAATCGACACGTTCAAGCACTCATTCTCAATAACTTTTCGTAACAAGAGAACAAACTAGAACGGTAAATTAACAATTCATTTAACTTCTAGGCAATACAGTTACGAACAAGCCTAGTTCATACGAGCCTATTTCGACCGACTCCTCCCCTTTCGGTTCTAAGAGTCGATTAAAGTGGACTAGAAAGTGTTTAATCAACTAGTCCGTATAGAATAACCAACATCAAGCAAGAATAAATCGAACTCAATCGTAAACAATTGGGGATTGAAGTGTCACCCTTCAACAGTTCTAAATACTCGAGCCCGACAATTGAAAAACCCTAGAAAAAGATCAACTCGTATGAAATTGAACAATCCTGAGCCCGACAATCACAAACGATATAAAAACATCAATCCCCTATCCCTAGCATATGAATTTAGCCGATCATAATTGAATCATCAACACAAACAGTCATATCAATCAAAGAATCCATAATCAATAATCAAATGAAGAGAAACCCTTACAATTGATAAAACTCCAAGGTTGAATCTGATAAACAAGCTTAAATCCAAAACAAGGAAGAAATCCAAGTGCAAATCCGAGTTCGACGTTGAAAATTATGAAGGAAAGATGAAAAACGAGTAAAAGGAATGGGCGTAGGGTTTTCTGGTCGTGGGAAAATGAGAGATCGATGCCCGATTAATGAGATCGCACGGGCATATATACTCTCACGGCATCACGGCGCGATGGAGCTAGCGCGGCGCGGGGCGGCAGGCGCGGTGCGCTGGAGTGATCTGCCGCGGCGCGAGGTCATGCCGCGGCGCGGGGCCTGGGATGCTGGGTCTTATGTTCGTGTCGTGGCACGGGCGCGGCGCGGGGAAAGGATGCACCGCGGCGTGGAGCATCTGTGATGAAGTATCGTGTGTTTTCCCAACTTCTGGACTGCCGCGGCGCGAGGCTTGGACACGGCGCGGTGCTGGGAAGGCGAGGTCCTCAATCGGGGTCGTGGTGCCACCGCGGCGCGACGCGAGCGCGGGACCTGGACAGGCTGCTGGTACTACTTCATGTTTTGGGGTCGTTCGTCCTCGTCCGGTATCGAAATTCGATTCCGCTTTTTCCTGTGTGTCGCCAACAAAATGCTCTACCAACTAAGCTAGCCCAAAACATTTTTCTCCTTTAAATTACAGTCAACGGGGCACCTGACCTGCACACCACAAACGAACACAAAAGCGAAGAAAACCGAGAAACGAGCGAAAAATACAGAAAGACTCTAAACTGAGGAAAACACGCGATAATAAACAAAACGACCTAAAAACGAATGAAAACGCCTAAAATGAAGGAGTAATAAAGACTAAAGACAACAAAAAATGCAACAAAAATGGGACAAACAATAAACTCGAGCTTGACTAGGGTCGTCACGACGGTGCCTGCTACCTACGAGAGGAAGTAAAAATAAAAATCAATTTTGTGCAAGGATTTGAATTATGGAAGCGATATATGTTAGTTAATTCGTTTACTTTGTTTGACAGGACAGGATAACCTAAACAGTCCCACAATATCCGACGTTTACATTAAGTGATTGAGATATGACTAACTGATGTGGATGCACATATGGCGGTGGGACCCATAAACATATCATTTATTTCCCAATTATTCTGTCCCGCCTAGACCCCCAGATATTTTAATCCCGCACTATTCATGACTATTTTGCCCTAAGAAATGTATGTAAAAAGACGTTAATACCCCTCAACATCCATTTAATTACAATAACTTACCATTTAAATATTAAATTCATTGTATAACTTTGCCCTAATCTAGCAATCGAAACTGCAGAGGGGTCTGGAACTCATCGTCATTCCGTCGCCAAGGTAAGCTCATCGTCACATAGTTTGATTCACAGAAATGAAAGTAGCAAAACTAACTGAAAAATGTAATTTTACGAATTAAATTAATATTAAAAATTTGTCAACAAAGTGTCAACCTTCAATTTTAGGAGCCACTGTTCGAAGAGGCAATTTGCAGAATTTCAAAGAAAAAATTCCTGTAGGACAATACTCTTCCAATAATGGTTCAAAATATTCTTTTATAACACCCTCGAATGCCTGGAAGGGAACCATTCCACAAATAAAGCATCAAACTTATGAAAATAATACATATTTACAGATTCTGCTGCCAATGTGTAAAGCATAATGTTCAAACCTCACTACAATTAAAACACCTAATACAAGCCCACCGAAAACTTCATTTGCAGTCGTGGTTTGCTATCGACCTCGGCCACCTCTCCAATCTAGGGTTCGAACGAAAAAGAGGAGGGCAAAATCTGAGTGTGTGAATTTCGTCTGCATTTTCGTCTTTTGTGTACAAGGACAAATTTGTCAGTTCAAGTTATATCATCTTATTTAGTCCTATATAGTAATTAGTTTCAGACAATGCCATCACACAAAGTAAACGTAGGACAAATTGCTGACGTGTAATCCCATCACACAAAGTAAATGAAGCCTTAATGGATTGGGTGTAATAATGTGTAATAAGAATAGGGCAATGGGGAACATAGGTGTGGGACCCAATGAGAAACCTCGACATGCGTTCTCCAGCTTGCTTCCCAATCAATCCACGGCACCACCACCTCCTTTCACCAATCACATCCTTCCACGACTTCACTTCCACGTCACCGAAAAAAAACTCCAATTCTATTCTTATTAATTTATTTATTTATTAACACTGATCCTTTTTTCTTTCTTTCTCTTTTCGGGTTTTATTAAATCCCTCGAAACATCCAACGTTGAATCACGTACAGTGATTGAGTGAGTGAGAGTCAATATGGTTTTTATAGATAAGCTGAGGTGAGGGAGCCATTTTCACGGCGGTGAATATTCTAAATGCGTTTCAAATCCGAGAACCATTTGTTTCCGTTGAATTAAAAAAGTAAATGTATATATAAATCACAGTCAGGGAAAATGGCAGACATTTGGCTGACTGCCAGCTCCAACAAATCCGCTACAATACGACTTTGATCAATTGAGGACACCTCCGGTTTTCCTTTGTTATTAGGAGGAGAACTTTTTTTTTTTCGGGGGAAAAAATCTTGTAAAAAAAGGAGACTGTAATTCTCTTAGCCCGTCTGACACTTGGTTCTAGAACAAAGAATTCCGGTGGGTTTGAGTTCTTTCAAGATTTTCACTTGCGGTTTGCTTTGTTTGGATCTCTGAATATGTTGTTTTCTTCAATTTTGGTGATCAATAATTTGTTAAGGAGTTCTTTTGTTGAAAACCTTTTATTTTGAGGTTGGATTTTGATTAAGTTTCTTTTCATTAGCGCCCTTTTCGTTGTCTTCATTTGCAGCAGTATGGATCGTGCGTAACTTATTCATAAAGTGTGCTCCTTTTATACTTTACGTCATTGCTAAGAGTAATATCCCATCTTCACTTGATTTAGCCACTGAATTATTTTGACTTTTTTCTTATCATCTCAAGCTTTGATCGGACGCAAATTACTTTCTTTAGCCTACTATATGATTAGTGGTGTATGCAGACTTCTTGTGTTTAAAATGAGATCGTGAAGCCAAGGTCTGTATTTTTCCAGGTCTTCTCCCAGTAATTCGTGTATAATCCTGTGCCCCCATCCATGAAGAATGATGATTTCTTTTGTCTAAGCAGCTTATGTGATCCTATTGTTGGTTTCCTGACTTGATATGTTTATGCCATGGTTTTATTATATGTCATATATTCTGCATTTATTTCGTTCCATATTCATTTCCAAACTGGAGGCATATGATTGGGAACTTTATTTGAGTCGAGATATGTTTCCTTTTCCTCTTTCAAAAGATTCGAATCGAGAATGAGATAAATTTCCAGTATACATTTTTAAATAGAGATTGCATCTTGGCACTTTCTTTTGTCCGTGTATGAATTGTACAAAGGTGACCACATTTTGTTATTGTCAACACCTCTGCAATAAATGTTTAGATCCTTCACTTTTCATCTTGGGCTTCATTTGATGCTTTTCATCATTAGAGTTGTTACATGCCTTGCAGCAAGTTGGATTGATGCGCAATGCAGAGGTCGCGTAAAGCTCTTCTACAAAGGAGAGCAATTTGGGGCAGGAATCGGCTGTATAAAGTCTCTGCTTCTGTTGTTGTTGTGCTATGGGGCCTTGTCTTTCTCTTAAATACTTGGATCGGCCATGGAGATGGTGAAAAAGGTCAGCCTTCCAGGCATTTACTAATTTAGACGGAGTACCGTTTCTAAATTCCTCTTTGCTGAGCTTTTCTTGCATCATACCACATCTGGAGAGGTATTCATGGAGCATAGTTAGAATTTCTCCAATATCAAGCTCTTGCGTGTTTTGAAATAAAAAGCTCAAGATTTCTTTATAAGCTTGACAGTGTGTTCCCCAAGAAGAGAACTTTTTTGGCAATGTAGTGGAACTTATTTACATCCAAGATCTCCCTGTTACCTCCATATATATGAAGTCACATTTTTGTGTTTGTAATCTCCTCACACAGTGAAATTTCCTTTTTGCATGATTAACGTAGATAAACGAGAAGATTATTCTGTTAATCAAACGAGATGGGATGAAGACGAAATCATTTTTGTAAATGGAGCAAATTATGCATTATCTGTGGATGAGCACCCATCAGAGGCAATTGCCTCTGAAGATTCTTCTGCACAGACATACGTACCTTGTAATGGAACAAATCTTAGTACGGGCAAAGTGGAGAACGTAATCACAGAATCCACTGCCGACGAAGCTTCCACTAAGAAGAATTTGCTGGCTAATACGGTAAAGGAGAATCCCAAGATTGACAGGTTATCCCGTGGAGTGCCTCCTGGGCTAGATGAGTTCAAGAATAAAGCAATCAATTCTAAAAGTAGTTATCTAACAGACCAGGCTGGAGGCATTGTACACAGAGTCGAGCCCGGTGGGGCGGAATACAATTATGCATCTGCTTCTAAAGGAGCAAAGGTTGTGTCCTACAACAAGGAAGCAAAGGGTGCCTCCAATATCTTGAACGGCGACAAAGACAAGTACCTTCGAAACCCTTGCTCGACCGAACAGAAGTTTGTCGTGATAGAGCTTTCTGAAGAAACTCTTGTAGACACGATTGAAATTGCGAATTTCGAGCATCATTCATCTAATTTGAAAGATTTCCAGTTATTAGGCAGCCCGGTTTATCCTACCGACTCATGGGTCAAACTCGGGAATTTTACTGCTGCGAACGTGAAGCATGCTCAGAGGTTTGTTCTTCCAGAGCCGAAATGGGTGAGGTATCTCAAATTGAACCTGCTCAGTCATCATGGCTCGGAGTTTTACTGTACACTGAGTGTGTTGGAAGTGTACGGTGTTGATGCTGTTGAGAAAATGCTAGAGGACTTGGTTTTAGACGGAAAAAACCCCGGTTTAAGCCCGCCCTCGGCAACTGAAGGTGATGGTTATGAAGTTATTGCGGAAGAACCTGACTTGATGATTGAGTCATCACCAGATGTGAAACGTGGAAGACTCGAAATTGAGGTGCCCGACCCAATTGAGGAAATCCGTCACCAGCAGGTTAATAGGGTGCCCGGGGATAGTGTCCTTAAGATTCTGATGAAAAAGGTGAGATCTTTGGATTTGAATTTAGCAGTTCTGGAGAGATATTTAGAGGAGCTGAATTCCCGATATGGTGACATTTTGAAAGAATTTGATAATGATGTCGGGGATAATTATGTACTTCTGGAGAAGATCGTGTCAGATGTTCGGAGACTCTCTGAAAGCAAAGAGGACATGGTTTGTGTAGTTTTTATTTTCAACATTTTATTATACCCATGCATTCGTAAGTTGTACGTTTCTAACTCTGTGCAACTCTTGCAGAGTAAGGAGATCGGTGATCTTATGTCTTGGAAATCTCTTGTTTTTACGCAGCTGGACAGCGTACTGAAAGAGAATTCCCTTCTCAGGTCTTTGTTTCCTTTACGTACAACCTTTTTTCTCCCTTGACATTTATAGTTTTTTATGTTGCTGAATCATGGTCATGTGCAAAATATGTGGGTTTCTTTTCCTTTTTATCTGATTTTGGGTAAGCAATATGAACCGTCTTTCCCTGCTCACTGAAAAGAAAAAGATGAAAGAACGAAAAATGCATCAAAAGCAGTCTAATAAATTTAATCAAAAAGTAAACAATTCTGCAAATGTACTCGTGTCATGACCCTGATGGTTTCTTATGTTTGTAGCTGCTTTGGCATGGAATTAGTTGATTAAAAATAATAGAAGCCAGGAAAGGCATCGAAAACCTTAGGCTAGTGAAGTAAGATATTAGTGGGATTGAGGACTAATTTATCCATTCATTGTAAGGCTTTGGATCTCATTTTTACCCCTTGAAATATGCTAATAGATATATGAAACACGCACTTTTTTTGACTAATCAGTTATGCATTTTGTTACATGCCATTTATATATACAACATATTCTGAGTGTCCATCTTACTGCAGATTGGAGGTTGAAAAGGTTCGGAGGAATCAATTGCATCTGGAGAACAAAGGAATTGTAATTTTTCTCATATGTGTAGTTTTCGGATTCTTAGCTATCATAAGGTCATTTGCAGAAATGGCATCAAATGTTGTGAATAGATCCCAAAATCCCAGGAAATTTTGTTCGCTGAGATCATCCTGGTTTTACCTCCTACTTAGCTGTAGCGTTATTATAATCATCCTCTCCTTATAATACATCCATAAATCTTGTAATCTATCAATTCTTTGGGCACATCACATGGAAATGGAGTACAGTTTTTCTCAATTCCAGCAATATCTATATTAGTTGGTAGTCATTCTTGATTTCTAACTGTTTTTTCCTTCTGCGATGGTCAATGAGTTCAGATTATGTTAGAGTGGGCATTATAAAAGCAATTGAAAGTGTGGTAGGCTGAGGACATTCTACAGATTTTAAGAACGTGAGAGAGTACGTGAAGTTAATTTCAGCTATCAATTATTAGAAGAATGAAATGTACATGAAGTTAATTTCAGCTATTAATTATTAGAAGAAATAATGTGGAAAAACTTAATTTTTTTAGAAAAATAATAGATTTCTGTTACACAAGATACCAAGTCAAGTATATATATTTGATCTATGATCATGCTAAACATAACGGAGTACATAAAGTGTGACATAATATACATATGACATGATCATGTGATTTTATCTATAAAATCAACTTTAATGATCTTTTTTTTTTTCCAACGTCAATTATATTAATAATTAGAACCTTAAACTAGTACAACCGAAGTGTTAAATGACACACTGGAACCAAAAGACTGGACCAACTTTAATGATCAATTCCTATCAATTATGTTATTTTTATACATTACATCAACTTTAAATTTAACTTTTAATCTTACATTTCAATTATGTCGAACATTTATGTCAAAATATTATATAAACATAACGTTGTTTGCTCCATTCATGAAATTGGAAAGACAACTCAACATAGCTTCAAAAACCAATATTTGCCATGAAAAATTATGGTTGGAAATAATTCTTTTTGCTAAACGGGCTAGGAAACAAAAGAGTTCGAGACCGAGTACCCAAGCCCAGTTTGGCTCTTAAAGGGAAAACTTCCCCGTCCTCCCACGGTTCCACCGCAAGAGCTCATCCAACATAGCTCGTCACATTCTAGAATCTTTAGTGATTACGTCATACATCCTTCAAGCTCATTACGGGTTTTGCACAATCAGTAATATCCCTTAGCGAATTACCATCAATCATCTGAAAAAAATTAAAAAAATGTTCAAAAAGGCTGTGGAGGCGAAATCACAACAGCGGTTGTCGGGGGCAGACCGTAAAAAACTGAAACGCTCAATCAGGGAACGATTCCCTAATGCTTCTGATGCAGAAATTGATGTTTTACTGCCCTCAAAGGTCTTTGATGTTTTCTTATTTATTTGTTAAAGCTATCTATGAATATATGATATATTTAGCTTGGATACTTTGTAAATTCTGCTGCTTCTTTAAATTGAGTATCTTTCGTGTTTAGCTGTGTGAGAGCTGTGTAGATATGATGTGGGCTGTGCGTTTTTGTTGTAGGAGTTGATGAAATAACAAATGAGGTGTGTTCTTCCTCTTTATTCTAGTAAAAAAAGTAAACTTTGGGGCAGATGATTTTGTAGAAGTTGGCTTCTTTGATTATTACTGTTTGAATGTATCTTGCCCTTTAAATCCCCAGGCATTCCCTAATATGTCTTGTGTTTGGACCAGAAGTATATCCTCAAATTTACTTTTTGGAAAAATATCTTAAATGTGAAATTTTTAGGATTTGGTGGTGTCCTATGGTCATCACAAAAACATGACTTATGCTCATCCATGTTAAGAATAGTGAGGATTACTGAATCTGATGAAGGGCGATGGATTTAGAACATTTCTTATTTGTTTGCTAACGTAAACAATTAAGTTCTCTTGTCAGGTGGAAATAACTGTAACCAAGTACCCTAACCGACTACTTGTGTACGGTCTGGAAGGTGACTGTCCAATGTTTTATGATATCGACGGACGGGGATCGGAAATATTACCTACAGGTAATCCATAAATTTTGCATAAGATTATGTGGTTTACTTCATTTATTTTTATAGCATGGAATGATCCATTACACATCTTATTGGGTTTTTCATTGTACTACAAGCGTCTTTGGAGCTTATTGGGAGTATGCATTTTGTTTTCTTACCCTCATTTGTTCGATGTCAGTTTATGCCTTATGGAAGGTTCCAGATCTGTTGCCTGCTTTTATGCTGAAAGGGGGAGAGGTTTCTCGATTTGTTCTTGGTGGGGCTGATTTGATGTTCCCTGGCATCCAAATTTCTGCTGAAGGTCTTCCCTCATTTTCTGCTGGTGAGCCATGGGCTGTCAAAGTTCCTGGCAATCCCGCTCCTATAGCTGTAAGCTATATAACTAACTACGTGATTTTTGGATCGTTTTTCTGCTTAAAGTTTATGTTGAACCTGTACTTATTGGAAATTCCTCAGGTAGGCATTACCACCATGAGTAGCACAGAAGCATTGAAGGCTGGTTTGCGTGGAAAGGCACTAAGGATTAGCCATTATTACCGTGACACACTTTGGTAATGTAACATGTTTTTCTCCTTAGATTGAGAAATGCTGATGAGCTGCTTTCATAGTTGTCCATTTTCTTTACCTTTGTATTTCGTGAATTTCTCCAGGGATTCTGCTGAAAATTGTCATGTTCCAAATGTGGGTTTTTATGAAGATGCTGTGTTTGAGGACCCTGCTATAATTTCTGCTGGCGAGGCTTCTGATTCACGTGAAGATGGTTTATCAATTGGTCAAAGCAATGCTGACAACAATGATTGTTCAGGGGATGATGTTGATGCTGCTGATGGCACTCAATTGCCTCTTGATTCTGCTTCCACAGAAGATCCCATAGTGAAAAATGAACAGATCACCTCTGCCATGGTTGATTTGCATGTTACTGAAAACGCTTCTGGCGCTGAGACTAGTGTAGATGACCAGCATCCTTTATCTGTTGAGGGTATAGATGCATTATTGGACAAGTGCCTTTTGCAAGCTTTGCATACAACTGTCAAGGATAAAGATCTCCCCATACCTGGAAGTGTATTATGGTAACCTGCAGGCACTAAACTTGTTCATGGTTTACTATATGTTTTGTCATCTATGGCTTGCATGCTTGAGTGAAAATTCATTTAACGATTCCAGGATAGTGTTTAATTTGTGCATGTTCTTGTCAATCATAATTACGTTCTGTTGCTTGAACTGTTTACATACATGTGTTAGATATGCGACACCATTAGTTGTTAGCCAATTATGCTTGTCTAACTCTACATGGAAAATTGGATCAGTAGGGATTGTGGTTTCCTTTATAAGGTTCAAAGTGAAAAATCATTCAGGTCTTACTTTAAGCTTCAATGCAGTGAGGTGTTTTGTTTTGTTGTTGTTGTTGTTGTTGTTTTTTTTNATCTCATAAGAAACTATCCAAGTGGCTACAATCTAAATCTGTTAGTGGACTGGTCAGCTTTCAGTTGCCTTTTCGATTAACTAAGTATTTTTATTGTGCAATCTACTTTTTTTTTTTTATTTCTAATTCTTTTGCACTCTGAAATATGAGCAGCATGCTTTGATAGAGGGTTTATAGTGCCCTAGCTTTTAGTCACTTTGTTTTTATTTCGTCCGCGAGATGCTTGGATACAAATTTATCCAAATCATTTTTAACCCATAACTCTTTAACTCAAATCTAACTCAACTTTAACTCAACATCACTATCCTCAACATTATCAATATAATTAAATAATATCACTCAATCATTCTTACGCATTACATCAACCTTAATTCACTATTCATCTATTTTAACTAACTATCACTTCACATCATCTCTCTTCTACTTTTACATCAAATCAATTTTTTTTTACATCAACATCAAATCAACTTTAGATATTTTATTTTAAATATTTCTTTAATATAAACTCAAAATTCCACAAAACTAACTATACCACTTTTTTCAAGATTAACCATACCAAACCAAAAATCCAAACAAAATCAAAATATTTTATAACCAAGCATCCCTACCTTACCCTGATTAACTAATTTCCTGAACTAGTAGTTTTGGAACTTACTTTTATTAATGTTGTGATGTCCCTACATGTTTGTTGTGGCACTTGATTGTTCATGGGTTTGTACATCTTACTACTGTATTCCAGATTTCTGTTAAAGAGGACAAACATAAAAAGGAGGTGACACTGTTCTCGGTCAACCGCAAGCACCCAGATTACACATCTTTCAAGCCAGAGAAGAAGAAAGTCGAAAAAAACGATCAATCTGCGAAAAGCATCGCTAACGAAGGGCAGTCCGGTAAATTACTTGAGGTTGTGGAGATTTACAAGCCAAGTTCGCATGTCAACCCTATATTTGCTTCCGTTGAAGCAGACACTGGGAAACTGTATACTGCCTCAGAAGCTTCCGAAATCGCCTTCGAGTACATCGAAAAAGCAAAGCTTGTCAAACCAACAGACAAGTCTATTGTGGTTTTGGATGCGGCCCTTTGTGATGCTTTGTATAAGGGAGCCATCAAGAAGGGCACGATGTATCCAACTGAAATTCATAAGAAGGATTTGGGGCAAACATTCATCAACCGCATGCAGGCTCATCATCTCGTGATTCGAGGGAGTGATTCAGTTGTGAGGAAAGGTGCACTCAAGCCGATACAGATACTGACTGAAAGAAGGCAAGGGAACAAAAAGGTGACAAAGCTTTCGGGTGTGGAATCTTTTCTGATAGATGCGGAGATGTTAGCTTCAGAGCTGCAGAAGAAGTTTGCTTGCAGTACGACAGTTTCAGAACTTCCTGGTATGCTTTCTCACTCACTCACTCTCTATGTGTTTAATTGTAGCTCTTAGTGACTCTTTCTTGATTTGAAAAACATAATAAATAGGAAAGAAGGGTCTGGAGGTTTTGGTCCAAGGAGGCGTGATTGAAGATCTTGCAAGACATCTGGTTGATCAATATGGGGTTCACAAGAGATTCATTGAAGTTTATGACAAGACCAGAAAATAGAGCAGCGAGGTTTGAGGGAAACAATAGAAGAAAATGTTGCGGGCTGATCTCTGAATGAGTGTGTCTCATCTAAAGGATATGGTTCTATTGAAGATTAATACCAGAGTTTTGGATGTTATTGTGTGTATCTATCAAGCTGAAAGAGATGTCTGCTACTACTTACTTTCTTTTAATGCGAATATATGGCGACTGTTTGCTTCGTATTTAGGAGCCTTCCGAATTGATCGGCATTGTTTTTTTTTTTCAAAACGATAGATGATCGGCATTATTCATTCCTGAGTTTCACTGAATATTTGTGGTGCAAATTATAACAGTTGAAAACCTTACAGAATATTTATCTGTTTTTGGGTATGATCACAAGATATATATTTATTGTTGTGTATAAATGAATATTTTGTGAATGCCCGCCGGGTACCACCGTTCCTATAGGCGGGCACAAGGTAAACCGGGAACAATCCCTTGGAACTATTGATGTGAGACTGCCGTTTTCACAGCCTCGGAAAAAGCAACCAAATGTCAGCCATCGGAAAATTCTCAGATGGGAGGCCATATAGCTAGATAACTGCACGTAATTGCTCGACTCTTGCTCGTCTTGGCTTCCATTGTTGAGTGTTTTTTTTTTTAACCTAAATGCCGGACATGGGCTTATGCTTATCCACTTAATCTCCGGTTGTGTGTGTATGCGACACAATGATCAAATTTTGCCTCAAAATGCAGAAATCTTTAGACCATACACAACATTTACAGTGATATAATTATCTAAGTGCGTGGACAAAGAATTTATTAACCAACCGCTGTTCATTTTTATTATCACTGAAAAAATTCAAGGAAGTTACAACCGGCAAACCAAAAGGCTGCAAAAGATCCCAAAGAGTAGCAAAGGAAAAATGTTAAGGGGGGAGTTACAACCATCATGCTCCCCCTCCAACTAAACAAAAGAACTGTTAAAACTTAAAACTAAACAAGGAAGAAGACAAACGCAAAAACTAAACAAGAACTAAAACAAGCACCAGGCAAATGCTNTACCAACCCCGAATATCTTGCAACAGAACACCTAGCATCATCTGCTTCTCGCACCAGACGACAACGTCTTCCAGATCTTCTCGCGTGCATGTGTTGAGTTGGCGCCCCCATAAAGGAATCGTGGATGAGATTGTATCACTTTGGATCTTATACGCCAGGGCAGATATTGCGCGTCCATGCTCTGATCTTCTCATCGCCGCACCAACTGTTTCCCCTGGAAGCATCACGCCGACCAGTTCCCAGGCACTTTCTCTGTGGCTTTCAAGAAATTCATATTGATCTGGCTGTATAAACGATATTGATTGATAACTATCCAGCCAATCCTCAAAATACTCCCGGCTCCGATCGGTGTACGACAGTGACTCTCCGGTTTCGAGCGTGAAAGCCATCCAAAGATGCGAGAGGCAGTAGTCTTGGTTATAACGTACATCCTCTGGAGGGCGGCTTGAACCGTTTCTTGCGGTAGCATCAGGTTGACGATCTGAACCATCAGCGGCCTGCGCCGGGCAAACTTCCGTCGTCGGACCATAGCCCCCGGCGACGCCGCCATTCTCACCCCCATCACAAGTCGTGCAACGCTTTCTCTGTCCAGTGTGAAGAACAGTACCGGTAGGCGGGGTCCAGGCTCTCTGTAAATTGTCGCGTACATGTCGTGGATGATGGAGGCGACGAGGTTTGGAGACAAAATTCTCCCGAACGCATGTTCCACAGTTTCACCGGGCAACATGCACTCCCAGACCCGGCACAGTCTTATTTCAAGATTCTTCAAGTATTCCTTCTCCGCCACCATTGGAGCAATTATGCCACGCCACTCCGGGAATTGCTCCCCGGCACTTACCAACTCCGGCAAACTCATGTTCGCGAAATTTTCAAGATGGACGGAGATAGGAAGGCTGTAATCCATGGAAATGGCTGGTCAAATTCTTGGAGAGAAAAAGCGAACCGAAAACAGGGGTGCAGCTATTTTTTAATTGGGGGGGTTTTCAGTTGGGGGGTTTTTGATTTTTTATTTGGGGTTTTTTATTTAGGGATTTGCATTAGGAACGGGCCGAACGGCTAAATTTTACAATATTCAAAATAATTATTAGTTGAACATAATCGTTTTTTTTTTACAGATATGGATATTTAGATTTTCGGTTGGCGTAGTGGTTCTAAAGACAACTCGATAAACTATCCTACTAATGTCATATATTTAATGTATTACATCCATTTTATATTTATTTATTAAAACTGCAATGAGCCAATAATGATAAATTATGTAAATTAAAATACTAATTAGTATTAAAATGATTTAATATTAATATTTATCTTTTCTTTTTTAATATCAATGAACAAGGACCGGCCTCTTTCCACTATAGCAAGTAGAGCAAATTATGAATATAATATTCACAAAAATACTTATCTTACTCATACATTATTAATATATACATATATATATATATAATATATGTAGAATTTACTAAATTTTAGTTATATCAAAATTGTTTTGTTTTTATTAATTTATAATAATATATGTTATAAATATTTTATTTTTTTGTAAGCTAACTCTTTACATCGTTATTCGATAGATGACTTCTTTGTTTAGCATTATACTTTATAGCAATATACATTATAAATATTTTGATTTTTCTTCTACATTATAATAATAAATTCTATAAGATAATCAATTTTAATTTATAAATATTTAAGTTCTAGCATAAAAGTTCTATAAGATAATCAATTCTAATTTATAACATAATATTTCTAAGTGGCGCAAGGACGCTCATTCAGTGAGCTATTACGCAACATAATAACAATAAACTCTATAAGATAATCAATTATAATTTATGACATAATCTAAGTTCTAACATAATAAATTATAAATTGTGTAAGATAATCAATTCTAGTTTATAAATATTTAAGTTCTAGCATAAAAATTCTGTAAGATATTCAATTCTAATTTATAACATAATAATTCTAAGTTCTAACATAAATATAAATTAATTCTATAAACAATAAATTATAATTTATAACATAATAGTATCTAAAGTCTAACATAATTTTTATAATAAAAAAATGTTTAGTAAAAAAAGAAAGAAAAAAAATCACGCGGCCGGCTGGCGATACCGACAGGATCGTAGTTGACCGGCCTAGTCAGTTGACCGCCACCTGTGGGGACGGTTTGGCTAACCGGCCATGCGATTTTTTTTTTTACTTTTTGGAAAAGATGTCGGGGGCAAAACTGTCCAAATATGGGTGGTACGTAGTAATAAGGAAGCGGTGAGTGACTAGTAACACTCTAAAATTATTAGGAGTGATGAAAAATAGAATAATTATATGAAAGATAAATTTATGCAATAAATAAATTGATTGATAACTAAATATGTTGATGAATAATGAATCTGTATGATATGATGAAATAAAAGAAAATTAGAATAAAAAAATATGATTTATTTTTTAGAAATATTAAAACACTAGTTGATAAGTTAAATTGTCCTGAATCGCTCGACCGTTTCTCTCGAACCGGGTTATGTCTTCTCGATTGACAGTACCTGCAAAGCGCGTCGGGTGTGGTCCCGACGCAAACACTCCGACACTCAAGTCAGTGAGGGATTCGAGAGAAACTGGTAGAGTAACGAGACATAACTTATTTTGTGTGTATGTGTGTTGTGTAATAGTAAAAAAAATCTGACCCCTTATATAGAAAGAGTGACCCTGCCATGTAGGACTTCTGGTGTTGGAGAGTCCCTTCTCCATCCATGTCTTGATTTGAGTACATCCGTTACAACCATCGAGAATCCTGATCGCACCCAACTCCTTTCATTAGTGGGACTCTATCCCTTGGAAGTATGCAAAGACACCACGCCACCGTGGTCTGCTCGTTGTCGACAACCTGGATGTCCGGCATCGGGAGCTAGGCTTCCTTACTGAAGACTTCACCCCTTGCTTTACCTTAATCCGTCGACCAGGCTCGACCAGTTACGACGGCAAACTAGCCGAGCTGCTAATGCACCATATCAGGTAGCTCGACTAATCCCGATCTAAAGCATTCGCTCCTCAAATCCTACGCCTCGAATGGATGTCGTGCACAACCCTGAGGTCAGTTTCGCCCTTCCCTTATGCCGAGCTACATTATGTCAAACCACATCTTAGATCCCGCATCTTGGACGTAGGGCACACTCTATTCTGAACCAATCCTCGCTCATACACATCGGCCGAGCCTGCTCTCAGTTCCGCTTCCATGCTTACTCCAAGTCATTGTTCTTGGTGCTATATCACTAGTACAATACTCGTGTACTACACAGGTGTTAAGTTAAAAAATATAAAATAAAATTTTTTGCTAAAATAAATTTTTAATTTAAAAATTTTGATGGACTAATTAATGAAAAACAAGGAATAGACAATGCAAAAAGTGATTTGTAAATCATAATTTAGAAGAGAAATATGGGAGAAAATTATAATACGGTAAGATTGTTTCTTGCCCAAACTAAGAAGGAAATATGTACCAAGAGAAAAAAAATAACAAAATTAAATATACACTTACCAAGTCAGAAAAAATTATTTATGTCTAATACCAAGCTTAACTCTAGAGCAAAAATGAATATATAAATAACATTACAAAGCATAGATTTTCATAATGTCAGCATCCGAAGCGTGCGAATCTGCAGCTTAGGCTCAACACGTTTTGAATTAATATATAAGAGAGATAGTTGACACATGATGTGGCAACCAAGTCTGAATTTATCAACCAAAACATAGATTAGGAATCAAATTAAGAATGTGTGAGATTACTACTTAAGCTCAACATGTTCTCAATTTGTATATATGAGATGAGATATTTGTATAGTCTAGATGACTAAAATTATTGCAATTGTTCATAGATGCATAATTTTTAAACAAAAAAGTTGCATGTTTATAATTTTCATATAAATGCATGAAAATTATAAAAATATTATATATAAATTTTATACCTTAAAATCTTAATACTACTATATGTTGTAATGATATTTACTATATAGATATATACATATAATCTTAAAAACTAAAATTTAAAATCTTTTATTTTTTAAAAAATAAAATAAAAATAATAAAATAACAAATCAATCGGGTGTGATCCAATCAAGTCAACTAATAAAAGGAAAGAATCTCTAGGTGCCCCTATTATATTGCTTTTTTTTTATTCTCTAATATAATATAATTCTTTTTCCTACCCCTTAAAAGGAAGATAATTAATTCGTGAGAGAATAAATACCTAGCATTATTTAATTTCATGTTAACTAGTCAATTGTTATGTTGCTGATTTATATATAATTCAGCCCTGTTGATCTCCGCTTGTCCGTCTGCCCGTACTCTACCTCCGGCCGCCGTTCTGAGCCGACCGCGGATTCCGTCAGCAAGGTATTAGAATTTCACGAGTCACGGAATGTGTGAACTCTGAATCAGTGTATTTCACGATGCTCATGTCTCCTGCTGTGGTTTTTGTCCGTATCTTTAACTATTTCTTATCTGGTTTTTGTGCTTAAACTGCAATTGTTTGTATAAAAGAGATGCTTTATTTAGTTTCAGAAGGTATTCCGCTTGCATAGAATATCACCGTCTGTGTTATTTATTCACTTTCATAAAGCAGGAATTTGTTAATAACAGAAAAAAAGGTTATCTAATAATGTCTTTTCGAGCTAAACTGTCACTTTCCGTGATGAATATCAGCATATGTTATCTAGAACTTACCTTGAGCGAGGCTTGATAGTAGACCTTATGATAAACTTGACTCAAACGTGAGTTCATAATGTGTGTGGGGTGTGGGGAGTGCCCAACACGAGATTGACTGCGTCCCTATGATTTTGATCCTTATTCCATTTGATGCTATGAAATTTTTTGCTGATGGAGTTATGAAATTGGAGTTTTAGCTTATTTAGTTATTTTTATGCATACAATTTTGAATATCCCATGCTTGTAAGCGTGTGTAAATGCCACTACTAAATCGTTGTTAATGGTTTGGAGGCCGGTTTATTTTGTTTCTGATTGAAAATTTATAATTTTAGATGAAAATAGCTGTAGAAGGGTGCATGCATGGAGATTTGGATAATGTATATGCTACTCTGTTGCACCTGCAAGAAGTTGAAAGAATCAAGATTGATCTTCTCATCTGCTGTGGGGACTTTCAGGTAAATTAATACTCTGCAGTTTTTCCTATTTGATTACTTTGGCTGTTTACTATATGTTTTCTTAGGCTTATTCTACGATTCTGGTTTATGTATACTTAAATGAATCCATGGAGATGTGAGGACAGAAATCTGTGGAAAAGTGACATGTGATGACAAATATTGAACAAGGCTGGTGAATCGACATTAGTATAATTGATGATTATAAGATGCCCCATAGCATTTCATTGTTCTAAGTATTTGTTAATTTCATTCTATCAGAAGTAGGAAATTCCAAACTTGAGTCCTATTGACTTTCCCCGAGTTTGAAGATTTTTGGCACAATCAGGAAGCATAGTTTGTACGATAGCATAATGGAGGCCATTTCCTTTGTAATAATCATGCAGAGATTTCTATCAAAACATACTGTTTCAACTAAACCTGCATGATGGATTTTCAGCCCAATTCCAGAATGTGTAATAGTTGACGCATGCAATAAAATCAATACTTCTGTGTTAATGTTTGATGGATCAGCTTAATATGGGTATCAGTGGACTTGAAATCTTTAAACCAGCATCCTGTTTTTCCATTAGCAATGAAATTGCTTTGGAATCCAGTTTCGATTTGATGTGTATCTAGTCACCTTACTCACTCGAATATAATGAATGTTTCAGTAGAAAAAATATATATTGATGAATTTCTGTCAATAATCTTTTTCTGGTATTGTTGTAACAAATCCTAGACTATAGTTGCTTGCTTAATTTGTGTGCAATCAGGCGGTTCGAAATGAGAAAGATTTGGAGAGCCTAGCTGTGCCACCCATGTATCGAACTATGAATTCCTTTTGGAAGTATTACTCTGGGGAGAAAGCTGCACCATTTCCAAGTATATTCATTGGTGGGAATCACGAAGCATCCAACTATCTTTGGGAGTTGTGAGTCTGCTCTTTCCATAGTAATACTGATACTTGATAGTTTGGAATCTTCTCTCTTATGTTTTGAATTCATCATTTTTTCTCATGTATTTTTGCTTCAACAAAACATAATGAATTGAACTGTATGTCTCTAATCTCTGTATAGAATTAAAGGAAAATCACAAGCTGGCCATTTGTTCCAGGACCTTGTTATTTGAAATGTGAAAACCATGGCAATACACATACATGCAAACGCACTTACATATATTCGTTTAATGAAGACAATTGATTATGTAGAATTGAATCTTCAATGACCATTGACAACATAATTGGACTTCTTGCATAGGTTGTTGGCACAAACATATAGATTTACCATCCTTAATTTGAAAAGAGGGTGTTGGAGGCATCTGAATTAATAAATTTACTAATTACATTCAACGGACACCCTTTTTCCTGCTATTTCAAAGAGAATGAAAAACATTAGGATTGCTTCTTGATGTTAATATTATTTATTGTGGCAGATACTATGGTGGGTGGGTAGCGCCACAAATTTTCTTTCTCGGATTTGCAGGAGTCGTTAGATTTGGAAATGTTCGTATTGGTGGACTTTCTGGGATTTATAATTCACATCAATATTATTCCGGTAATTGTTGTACTAATTCCTTGGTTGGTTACATTCAGTGCTGCATAAAGAGTATTATCATTCCAGATTTCTTTCTTTACCCCTTTGTTTATTTCTTTTAACTCTTTCTTATAAAAATATTCATAAAGTTTCATAGATTGCAATGCTAATAAACATTGTCAGAGTTTAGGTAATATTTGAAACTTTATCTGTTTTAAGGAATTTTTTTCCAGCATGTTACTGTTGTTTTTGTTTGGTTTTCTTTTAGAACTCTTGTGCACGTTATCATACACAAGAATAGAAATGATCAGGAGTTTCATTATCCTGAGAGTTGATTGCTATTGGTTGCCATTGTATAATCCCTAGTTTTATTTGAATAATGAATGACGGATATATTTCTAATAAAAGTTTTATCCGAGATGAAGTGGCATTCAGTAGCATGTAAGAGTTAGTTCAATGACTGAAATAAAAATTTTTGTTCTGACAAGTAATCTCCTCAATATGAAGAAGTTAAGTCATGAATTTAATTCAAAAGCGAAATTCCATTCATAAAGTAATCAATATTCTTCTCAAAACACTGGTTTTCCTCACCTTTCCTTGCTAGTTTTTTTTTCTTTGTTTAGAAAAAAAAAAAGAAAAAAATTCTTTGTGCCTCATCATGACATGTTGCGTAACTTTACTGTGAACAGGACACCATGAGAAGCTACCTTACGGTGACCAAGACATCCGGTCCATATATAAGGTTCGCGAGTATGATGTGAAAAAGCTTATGCAAGTTCAGGAGCCAATAGATATATTTCTTTCTCATGATTGGCCTCGTGGTATTACTGATTATGGGAATTTACAAAATCTTTTGCGCCGAAAACACTTTTTTGAAAAAGAGGTATCATTTAGTAATTTATGCATGCATTGATTTCAATAGGTTTAGATGGAGAAAGTATCAATATGGCCATATATGCCTGAGAACCAAGTAGGTGTTCCCCTAATTGTTTGGACCATGTAGAATTTCATATATCTACTGCTAGAAGCTGCTGAGCATTATATCACTTCTTGCAGCTTGCTTGATCTTTTCAATGCCCTTCTGGTGATTGAAAAAAAATAAATGAAAAAGAAGAGAATATGAACTATTATTCTCAAACGTAGCATCTATCTAGCTTGGGTTATGGTGGATTTCATATTGAAAGAAATATGAGAAGAAACGCTAGTTTTTTGCACTTCTACACCATAGCTTTCGAAATTAACATCTGAAAGTTAGTAGTTTCACATCATTGATGTAGAGGACTTTTACTAGATTTTTTCCTGCTTCAGTATTTTTTTGATTTGGCATCCCTAGGACCCCAAGTTAATGGAAGGGATAAAACACGCTATGAAGAAGCATTTTTGTTTTTCGATTTATTGTTCCCTAAGCATTTTCACTATGTTAGAACACCGGCAATAGAGATATTTACAAATATAAGCATATTAAGTATTAGTGGTGCCAATTTAGTTTTGTCATGTGCCTTTGAGGTGATTACTGCTCTTTTCTTGTTTCCCTCAGTGTTGTGACTAGTGAAACTTGTCATCCAGATTGAAGAAGGAACATTGGGAAATCCTGCTGCAAGAGATCTTATGGCTAAGTTGAGGCCTTCATACTGGTTTTCTGCACATTTACATTGCAAATTTTCTGCTCTCGTCCAACATGGAGAAAACGGCCCGACTACGAAATTTCTTGCCCTCGATAAGTGTCTTCCTGGAAGAAGATTTTTGCAGGTTGGTACTCATTCTAATAGCTAATTCGTGCTACTTTCGTAGTTACTGCTAAAACCAATCATCTGCTTATTTAACTCTTGAACATTGTAGGTTATCGAAATTGAATCAGAAACAGGGCCTCACAGTCTCCAGTATGATGAAGAATGGCTTGCAATCACTAAGAAATTCAACCCAATCTTCCCTCGGACAGAAGTGCGGCCAAATTTTAGGTATCTGAAATTCTGCATCAATTTCCTCTAAAATCGTTGTAATTCATTACTCTATGCATCTTCCATTATTTCATATGTATCCGGTGATTCCATTTGTTCTCTAGTGATGCTAAGCTCAATATGGAAGAGTGCCGCCTGTTTGTGAAGAATAAGCTGCAAATGAGAGGCAGAAAACCTTTTGAATTTGTTAGAACTGCTCCATGTCATAAATCTTCTCGATCTGCAGCCGACAATTTTCCTTCTGGTGAGTATTGATAAGCTTGACAGGGCTAAACTTTCTTTTCTTGTTTATCATGAAAGTAATAATATAGTTGTTGCATGAGTTGACAACTTTAGAAACAGCATTAATCGAATGTGAGTATAAAATTTATGTGAATAATAAGATTTGAGCCTAAGTAGAATTATGAGTTTGTTATGCTAATGCTGTTAATTGGTTAGAGGGCCACTCTAATGTTTTTTGTGCGTACAGTTAGCCTATACAACATTTTCTATTGAATTTTCTGCATAGCCTCATGAATGTGGATTAAATTTAGTCCTAAATGTTTCATTCTCTTCTAATTTAATGATACTTCTGAAATGAAATATTTTGTTTATAGATAAATCTACTACAATGACTTGGAGAAAACGCGAATTACTTAAGGCTATAATGGCAATTCCAGAATCTGCAAACGGTTGCAGTTCAGGATCCAAAGTCATTAGGATTGTACTTGCATTCTCAAGTATTCTGTGTTTCATGAAAGCTACTTTATTTAGCAAGTGACGTCTTGAGCTCAAATAGTTTTTACGGAAGTTCTTTTGCATTCCTTTGGTCCTTTGATCCGCCATTTCATGAATTCCTGGTCACACTACATTATTATTCCTATATTTCTTGTTTAAGATAGCTCTGGTGATTATCATTGATATTAGCAAATTCTATACATATTTTTAGTTAGTTTTTCTGGTTTAAAAGATGACTAGGACTATAGGGAGCTTCTGTTTAGTATCTGGAGTCACAAACCTTATTGTTGATTAATATGATCTGATGTTTAACCCTTTTTGGTTTCTCTCAGGACACTGCCGGAACCCTCAAACAGAAGCTCTATTGGAGTTACTAGGCCTCCAATATTGTCTTGATTAGAGGGAAAGTTTACGTTTTTTGTTGACTCAGCAGTTCACAAGTCATAGAAAGTTTGAAATCCAAATCAAGATCAAAAGCACATACGAATAATGTCCATGATCAAGTCCTTCACAGGTAAATTATCTTCTAGGCACGCTCTTGTTAGACGGTCCCCTAGAACAAAGAAAAGAAAAAGACTGAAGACAAATAAAGTAAAAACTTGAAATGCATTGTGTGGTATGCTTGTATCGATTACCGCTCAAGAGTTTACCCTTGCAGCCTATCTTATGATGGCACTTTTTGAGATTTTTGCTTACCTCGTTGGTTGCCATCTTTTAAGAAAAATATGAAAATCCCATATTCTACACCCTGAAAAAAAAGATATAATTAGAAACATTGATATCAATTTTTATTCTTCATATGCAACTCCTTTGTTTAAGGTTTATTGTTTGTATGACTGGTAACGCACTTGTTCATACTTTTAGAGCATGCTTGGATATAAAATCAATCCAAAAAATCCAATCATTTTTAACTCAATCATTTTTTTTAACTCAACTTTAACTCAACCTCACTATCATTAATTTTATCAATATAATTAAATAATATCAATCAATCATTTTTACACACAACATCAACCTTAATTCACTATTCATCAACTCACATAATTTTAACTAACCATCACATCACATCTTCTCTTTCTTACTTTTACATCAAATTAATTTTAATCATTTTATTTTAAATATTATTTTAATTTACCCACTAACAACTAACCATACCAACTTTTCCAAATTTAACCAACCCAAACCAAAAAATCCAATCAAAACCAAAAAATTTTATATCCAAGCATGCTTTTAGTTACTGCAGGAATTGATTGTAAGTTGAAAATTCATATCTAATATATATCTATAATAATTCGAAAACATGTTTTTATTTTAAAAAAAAAATAAATCCACAAACATATGATTTATTTAATTTTAGTAGAGTGATATTCATAGGTGTCACGCCCCACACCTGGTCGGACGAGGGCGCAACACCGATACTAAGGGGGTGATTGGTAAGGAGTTAAAACTTATCAAAATCAGTTTTGAATCCGTGTTTTTACTCATTGTAATTCAAAATCTAATTAAACCCCACTATCTTCAATATTATCAATATAATTAAATAATATCAATCATCTCTCTCCTACATTGTATCAATTTTAATTCATTATTCATCCACTCACATATTTTTAACTACCTATCACTTCTATCATCTTTTTCATACTTTTACATCTTATCAACTTTAATCATTATATTTTAAATATTATTTAATTACATCTTTTCTCATCACACTCAATCAACTTTATTCAAAATATCTCACTTTAACTCAGGATCAATTTTAACTGGTTATGACTATGATTGCTTACCAATCACCCCAAACAATTGAAAACAATTGATTGATACTTAAAATATAGATGAATACGAACAAACAAATAAAAGTCAAAATCAAATATAGCCCGGTAAGACTTAAGTCTGAAAATTCAAATCATATAACTTTTTTAAGATTGTTTATTTTGCAAATTGGCAGCGAAATTGTATTAAGTACAAATGAAATATTAGGTTGCAACGGAAGTAGCTAAATCTAATAATAGTCACACTAATTATTTTGAGTTTTCGCTTTACGGTCACTTTAACCCAACGAACGAAGCGAAGCGCAGTGAAGTCATAAAACCCTTAAAGTTATAGGAACGGACTTGGAGACTATAACAGGAACAAGAAGATATTGAATCGTAAATATCGACAAATTCTTTCGAAGTCCAAGGAAATGCCATAACTTTTTGAGGGTTAGTAGTCCTTTTATAAAGATGTTCATGGGTCTTACTTCTCGGGTTTGCCAGTAGGAATTATTCTACAACTAGCAATTCATTTATTTCCAAACCGACCCACTTATAATCTATTATTTGATTCACTAATCCTTTATATTGGGATGGGTGGAGGGTCAAATGGTACCCGAAACCGACACAGGTGGGTTTTTTTTTTTTTTTTTTTTTTTTAAGAAATGATATATTTTATAACAAAAAACACAAAATACAACCAGACATCAGCCAGAATAAGCCAAACAGCTATCAAGCCGAATCTAGCGAGAGGAGTACACACGTAAGTGCATCCTAGAATTAGCCAAACTAACTCACCCACTACCCCACAAACTAGTGAGTGATCTTATTTCACGCGTTCTCGATGTCAGCTTATAGTCTTTGGATAGCTCCTCATTTGGGGGTGCGGTTTGAAAATAGAAAAACTGGAGTTAGACGAAACTTCTCGACGTCAGCTTATTGTTTTTGGACAGCTCCTCATTCGGGGGTGAGGTCTGAAAATAGAAATACTGGTTTAAGTTTATGGTAAAATGCAACTTGTGTCCATGATGTGGTTTTCAATCTATGTTAAACTGCAACTGTTAGAAAATAGACACTTGTTGGTTTTTCTTTTTTATATATTATCATTTTATTCCACTTTTTTGGGTATTTATTGTAACGCCTCACTTTGATTTTAAAGAAATTTCAGACTTTCAGAAAAATCAGATTAAATTTTTCAAAATTTATTTCAAACATATTCATGGGGTTACTCAATTTCAACATCAATCATCAACATAATCTTAACTCCCAAAACAGGTTTCCAAAAAGTTTATCAATCACCCAAACCGGGTTCCAACAATAATCATAGAATCTAAGGAGCATCTCCTTAACATTATTTCAATCATATTATCCGAAAATCATAAATGCAATAATATTTCAAGTTCATAAATCATAAAATCAATTCATAACGCGGAACCATAACAAATAATAAAATCGGTCTCATAGACCGACCACCACTCGCTCTACTCCGTCGTCATGTCTGCCTCGCTTAACCTGAAAAGGTAGTGCTCACCACTATGCAGTAAACATTAATCAATATATAAAAACAACAATCTTAAATAAATCAGGTATGGTCGCAACATGTATACGAGTCAATTAACTATCCCAATCTCCCATCAATAATATCAATAATCAAGACTCATGTGCACACCTACGCATAGACTACTGCCGGTAAATTGTCGAATGGCCTTGGCCTCACATCGACCTCCAAGCCAGTAGGAGTAAATCATCCCGCCGGCCAAGGCCTCACCTTGGCCTTACAAACGAGGATCTCCAGCCGAGGGACCTAAGTCCTGGTCTTACGGCTCACAAAAGGAGACTACCCTACGGGTACGTTCTATAGCTACGGGGATAACCGTTCGACGGTCAGTACAACTCACATCGAAGGCTACATGGTTCACATGCATACATTGATCATACCACAAATTATACATTTATAACATTTACAGCATAGCAAATTTAAATAAAACCCACCTCGATTTCGGATTGGAAACGACACCGCAAGTAATGGATGTAGGTCGAGGCTTGACTCCTCACACACCTACATTAAGTCAAGATTCTATAATCAACAACTACCTTGACTTAAACGGAAAACACGCATCAGACTTAGTTGAACTTGATTCGACTAAGTTGTTCGTGAAGTCCTGTGGACGTTGGAACACTTAGACTTGGCTCTAAGACTCAACCAAACACGCATGGGAGTTCACATAATTTCAATCAAAGATTTACCAAGTCAAACAGACAAAGATTAGCATGCGAGTCGGTTTACAGTTTTTAACTCAAAAACTATGTTTTCGAAATAAAGCAGGAAATTCACATAATCAAGTCTTAGAGTTTAAAGCTATGTTTTTTAACTCATTCGGTTAAAAAACTATGTTTCGAAATAAAGCAGGAAATTCACTCAAAAACTATGTTTTTTAACTCATTCAGTAGACTGACCGTCTACCGAATGAGTTAGACTCTGAAATTTTAACCAAAAATCCACCTCACTGGACTTAGCAAAACCACCAAATTTCAGCTCTTAACTCAAAACAAATGATTTTATAAAATACAGACAAGTTTACAGCAAAAACGAACACAAATTAAACACCTGACATAATGAACGATTCAGCCTTTGAAATTTTTATCCAGGGAACCTCAACAAGTGAATAACAGCATGTAAAAATCTTAGCTTTAAACACTTAACGTGCGAATTAATAAAAATTGTAACAACATTCAGCAGATTTCATTGTTTCAGTAAATCCGAACTAAAAATGAACTCCAAAAATTCTGTTATTTTTACAGCATGAAAAACATCACAAAATAAGCTTTTCAACCAAAAATCAAAATATTTCAACAACAGATCAATTTATCATAATTAAAACAATTTTCGGCAGAATCACAAAATAAATTATTTCCCTTAGCAAACTGAGTCCAAAAATTCTGAAAATTTTACACAACAAGTAAACATGCCAGAGACACAACATACTCGAATTTCAGCCAATTTGGAGCAAATATCAATTTATTATGAAATAAACACGATTCTACCCAGAAATCAATTTAATTAATTAAATTAGCTACAAGTCGAATAAAATTATGAACTTTTTACACAAGCCTTAGATTCATCAGAATATAAGAGGACATAACACTTAAAATTTCATGGCAATTCGAGCAGTACACAATTTTTAACGGATTTAATACAAAAACAGTAATTTTACAATTTCGACAATTCATAAATGACTCGACCCAAACCGAGAATGTCCGAAGCCTTCACCATAAGGCTCAGGATCCTTCATGTTCCAATTTCACACAGCACTAAACACGAATTACGAGGTCTCACTCGATTTATCAAAATCGAATAGATCGACTACATACAATCAACATATTGAACACATAAAATCATAGGCATATGTATATATTCGCAAACACGTTCAACATATCAAATAAACGCATAACATAAACGATACATATGATTTATCGAGACAGGGTTCGAGCCTTGTACCGTTCTCGGGATTACGATAAAAAAACGGGTCGGACAAGGGTTGACGGGCTCGACTTGTGTGCGGCCTTCTTGCGGCGTAGAGGCAGCGACGAACGGCGGCTCGTGGTCGACGGAAGCAGAGGTTCCGCGCAGCGATTATGCTCCCTGGGG